AAAATTTGTATATGGTAAAAATTATGCAAGAAACAGGGTACACTCATGTATTAAGATTGAAGCTTGTATCTTTAGGGAAATTGGACTTCACCACTCAATTCTTCACATTTTTAAATGTAGCAAATAAATTTAACATTTCAAAAAACGATTAAAACCCAGCTGGTAAAAACCAATCAAAAAAACATCAAAAAAACATGTTCAACGCAGTATTCAATAACAATATTTGGTTTTTATGCAAAATGATTGTTACCATCATTTTGATCATGTCTTAAAGTGTAGGAAAAAAATTTAAAATGTCAAAAAATAATGAAAATTAAGCTGTAAAAAATGAAGTGAAAAAAGTGTGTTATTTGAGTATTAAAAGTGAACCGTTGAGTTTTAAGAAAATTGGATTGCTCCAATAAGTTCTAAGCACATTAAAACATAGGAAATGAATTTAAAATTTCAAAAAAACATAAAAAATTATAAGGTACATACATGTATGCAAAGAATTAATTGAGAAATGAGTGAAAAAAATAATTAATTATCAAAATTCATTTTTATGGAGAATGGTTTATACCATTAAATTCTACACCTCCTGGAGTGTAGGAAACAACTTTAAAAATTCAAAAATCTCAAAAAATAAGTGGTAAAAAATTATGGGCCTTAATAAAAAAACCCGCATTTTCCGCGTTTTGACGCGCTTTTGCTGCGGCACAGCACACGCCCAATTCGTGTTTAAACGCGCTTTTTTTATTAAATTTTTTTTGCCGTTAATTTTTTTTTTTTTTTATTTTTTGAAATTTTTTCCTACACTAAAAAACGTGTAGAATTTAATGGTAAAGTCCATTTTGCATAAAAATGACTTTTGATTCTTAATTTTTTTTTTCCACTCATTTTTTCCGTTAATTGTTTGCTTTAAGTTTTTTACCTCATTTTTCAAGATTTTGTGTAACTTTAAAGTTGTTTCCTACATTATTAAGTGTGTAGAAATTTATGGTGAAATCCAATTTTCATAAAAATGAATGGATCATTTTTAAGGGCCTTAATAAAAAAACCCGCATTTTCCGCGTTTTGACGCGCTTTTGCTGCGGCACAGCACACGCGCATTCCGCTTTTAAACCCGCATTTTTAATTAATTTTTTTTTGCCATTAATTTCGAGTTTTTTTGATTTTTTAAAATTTTTTCCTACACTTTGAAGGGTGTAGAATTTAATGGTAAAGTCCATTTACCATAAAAATGATTTTGATTTTTTTTTTTTTCTGCTTACTCATTTTTTCAATTAATTGTTTGCATGCATGTATGTACCTTATTTCTTATGCTTTTTTGAAATTTTAAAATTATTTCCTAGGTTTCAATGTGTAGAATTTAATGGTGCAATCCAATTTTATTAAAACTCAACGGTTCATTTTTAATACTGAAATTAGACCCATTTTTCACTTAATTTTTTACAGCTTAATCTCATCAT